GCTTCAAATCTCTGGGAGTCCCACAACCACCCTCGGGTTCTGTAATTCACTGAAATAACTCACAGAACTTAGGAAAGCACTCCATTTCTCATGACAGTTTTATTACAGTAGCAAGAGGCTACAAATCAGAGCCCACCAAAGGGAGAGATGCAGAGGGGAAGGTCTCAAACATGAAGCGTTCCTTGTACCCAGGGATGCATAGCCCTCTAGCATGACAGTACATAAAGAGCATTGGAACCAAGGCTACTCACTCAACTTTGGTGTCCAGAATTTTTAGTGGGGATCTTTTTATGGAGGCATGGTTGCTTAAATCATTCCCTGTTTGACTCACTGTTCACCTTGCGTGCCTTCCCGGGGGATTGGGCTGATATTGTGTAGCTCGAAGTCTCAAACCTCTAATCACATTACAGGTCTTTCTGGGGTTACCTGCTTCCATTCTGAATCAGATTGTTCGCATCCACTATCTAGGGGCCCACTGGAGCGCCTCATTAGCATAAAGCATCAGTCTGGTCTGGGGGCCCACTGTGAATAACAAAGATACTCCTATCACTTGGGAAATTCTGGTGGTTTAGAGGTTACTTCCCAGGATCCAGACAGGCCAAATTCTTCATTGCACAATAATGTAACAAATACCTGCTATTCTCTATTCAGAATTAATAATTTTGTAGAGAAACAAAATATTAGAAATGTTAGGGATAAAATTCAAGTATCTTGTGTTCCTCATATCTTCCCAACATACATATTTATCCATATAGTATTTTGTGTTTTTAAAATCTTATAAAACATAATTTCAGACTTAGAAAAATTGCAAGAATAGTACAAAGATTTCTCAAAACCCTTCACCGAGATTCCCCAATACTATATTTGCTTCATTTTCTCTTTACTTTTTTCCCCCAAATCATTTTCAGTATTTCATAAAAACAGATTATCAAAATCAGAAAATTAACATTGATATGATACTATTTTCTATCCTGTAGACCTTTTCAGATTTAATTGTTCCAATTAATGTTTTTTATAGAAAAAATAATCTTTGATTATTTGATATAATCAGTTGTCATGTCTCTTTTTAAAAAAAAATATTAATTTTTAGAGAGAAGGATATGGAGGGAGAAATAGAGGGAGAGAAACATCAATGGTATGCAAGAGAGACATCGGTTGCCTCTTGTCACCCCCAACCAGGGACCTGGCCTGCAACCCACGCATGTCCCCTGACTGGGAATCGAACTACTGACCTTTCAGTTTACAAGCTGGCACTCAATCCACTCAGCCACACTAGCCATGGCTTTTTAGTCTGGAACTAAACCTGGAACAGTTTCTCCATTTCTCTTACCTTTTATGATATTGACAACTTTGAAGAGTACAGGCCAATTTTTTTATAGAATATCCCTCAATTTGAGTTTGTTTAATGTTTCCTAATAATTGGATTCAGGTTATGCATTTTTGGCAGAAATATCATAGAAGTACTATTGTGTTTTTTTCAGTGCACTTAATTCTTTAGGATAGATACCCAGAAGTGAAATTGCCAAATCATGTGGTAGTTCTATTTTTAATTTTATGAGGAACCCTCATACCGTTTTACATAGCAGCTGCACCATTTTAAATTCCCATCAACTGTGCAGTACTTTGTTTAGGATTTTTGCATCTTTAGTCATCAAAGTTATTGACCTCTAGTTTTCTTTTCTTGTGTCTTTTTCTGATTTTGATTTCAGGATACTATGAAGCCACTTGGACCTGGCCTTTGTGTGTGTGTGTGTGTTTTTTGGAGGTTCCTGATTATTGATTTAATGTACTATTTAGTTATAAGTCTATTCAGGTTTTCTCTTTCTTTTTTTAAAAAATATTTTTATTTATTGATTGGTGTTAGAGAGGGAGAGAGATAGAAACATTGATTTGTTGTTTCATTTATTTATGCATCCATTGGCTGTTTCTTATATGTGCTCTGACCAGCGATTGAACCTGTGTCCTTGGTGCATTGGGTTGATGCTCTAACCCACTGAGCTACTTGTCCAGGCAGGTTTCTCTTTTTTTACTGTTAGTATTGGTAGGTTATATTCATAGGAATTTATCCTTGATTTTCTAGATTATTCAATTTTGGTGTATATCGTTCATAGGAGTCTCATAATCCTTTTAATTTCTGTGCAATCAGTTGCAATGACTCCTCTTTGATTTCTGACTTTATTTGCATTTTTTTCTTTTTCTTACTTAATCCACTAAAAGTTTGTCAATTTTCTTGACAAAAACCAACTCTTACTTTTGTTGATTATTTTCTATTCTTTATTCCTTTCTGCTGCTAACTTTGGGCTTAGTTTGTTCTTTTTCATTCCTTGAGATGTATAGTCAAGGGTTTTGGTTTTTCTTATTTTGGCAGGGGAAGGGGGTTTAGATCACTTTTTTTAATGGATAAAATTTTATTTTTTCAGTCATTTTTTTATATTTCAATTACAGTTGACATACAATATTATATTAGCTTCAGGTGTACACCCCAGTGAATAGACATTATAAAATCAAGTTATCGTCCTGATAAATTTCATTTCTCTTGACATCATACATAGTTATTCTCTATGCTGTACTTTACATCCCCATGACTATTCTGTAACTACCAGTTTGTACTTAATACTGTCACCTTTTTCACGTATCTTCCCAACACCTCTCACATCTGGCAGCCATTAGCATGTTCTCTGTATCTAAGAGTCTGTTTCTGTTCTGCTTGTTCAATTATTTTGATTTTTAGATTCAATTGTTGATAGATATGTATTTATTGCCATTTTATTGTTCACATTTGATCTTCATCTCCTCTTCCTCTTCCCTCTCCTCCTTCCTCTCCTCCTTGATCCTTTAGCATTTCATGTAATATTGGTTTGGTAGTAATGAATTCCTTTAGCTTCTTCTTGTCTGGGAAACTTTATCTGTTCTTCAATTCTAAATGATAGGTTTGCTGGGTAGAGTAATCTTGGTTGAAGGTTCTTGCTTTTCATCATTTTGAGTATTTCTTGCCAGTCCGTCTGGATTGCAAAGTTTATATTGAGAAATCAGCTGACAGTCTTATGGGAGCTCCCTTGTAGGTAACTGACTGCATTTAAGATTCTCTCTTTGTCTTTAACCTTTTATATTTTAATTATGTTGTGTTTTGGTGTGGGTTTATCTTGTTTGGGACTCTGCACTTCATGGTCTTGTATGTCTATTTCTTTCACCACGTAAGGGAAGTTTTCTGTCATTATTTTTTTTAATAGTTTTTCAATTTCTTGCTCTCTCTCTTCTCTTTCCGGCACCCTCATGAGGTGAATGTTGGTATGCTTGAAGTTGTCCTAGAGGCTCCTTACACTGTCTTCATATTTTTCGATTCTTTTTGCTGTTCTGATTGGGTGTTTTTTGCTTCCTCATATTCCAAATCACTGATTTGATTCTTAGTGTGACCTGCTCTGCTGTTGATTTGCTGTAAATAATTCTTTATTTCAGTTAGTGTATTCTTCGTTTTCTTCATTTCTGACTGTTCTTTGTTTTTTGTCTTTTTTTTAAATACTGCTGCGGTCCTCACTAAGTTCCTTGAGCATCCTTATAATCATTGTTTTGAACTCTATATCTGGTAGTTTGCTTGCCTCTATTCATTAAGTTCTTTTTTTTGGAGATTTCTCCTGTTCTTTCATTTGAGACCTGTGTATTCATCTCTGCATTTTGGCTGCTTCCCTATGTTTGTTTCTGTGTACTAGATGGAGCTGGTACATCTCCTGGCCTTGGTAGAGCGGCCTTGTATAGTAGGTGTCCTTTTGGGCCTAGGGTGCTGCTTCCCCAGTCACCTGAGCCAGGTGCTCCAGATGTGCCCCTGTGTAAGCTGTATGCACTATTCTGTTGTAGTTGAGCCTTGACTGCTGTTGGCATTACTGGGAGAGATTGGCCCCCGGGTCAGTCAGCTGTGAGGACCAGGTGTGACTATAGTGGAGGAGCTGCTGTGCAGGAGTCAACCCTATATGTACCAGGACTTGCTTCAGTGGGGCTTTGGCGCTCACCAAGTCCGTCGCTTGGGTGTGCCACTGGTGGAGGTGATAGGGTTGTAATCAGGCGTGGTCTGAAGCTGTCCACCAGGCGTACTGACTCTGGGACCTCCTGCTAGGTATGAAGTCAGGCACTGTTTGTGCCCTGTCTGGGGCCACCTGGCACAAGCTACAGAGCAGTCCGCAGATAGCTGCTACTTGTGTTGGCCTTGGAGGTGCTTGGGAGAGGCCAAGCTGTGAACCAAGGCTGGCGCCACTAGTGCTGGGCCTGGGGACATTTAACAAGACATTTAACAAGAGGTACTACGGGATACAAAGAGGCCAGATGTTGCTTGCTTGAGAGATTTTAGAAAAGTCCGGAGTATGAGGCAAGACAGGCCCAGACATGTCGAAAATGTTGCATATCTTCTTCCACCTTCAATATTAAGATGGCTACACAGCCCTGTCTGTTGTGGCTCAGTGGACTGAGCTCTGGTCCATGAACTGAAAGGTCACTGGTTTGATTCCCAGTCAGGGCACATGCCAGGCCAGTTCCCCAGTTGGAGGCATGTGAGAAGCAACCGGTTGATGTTTCTCTCACACATCAATGCTTCTCCCCCTTTCTTTCTCCTCTCCTCTCTATCTAAAAAATAAATAAAATATTTTCAAAATGTATAAATAAAAATAAAATGGCGGCACAAAAATTCACCAATTTTGATAAGTTTTCTTTTTAATGCACCCTGATATGACAGCTGTCACAATACAGTTTTAACAAAATTGTTTCAAATGAAGCTAAAGACAACTAAGCACTACCAGAGCCATCATACGGAAGAAACCAAACTGACTTTTTGGCCAACCCAATAGATAAATACAAAAGTTTTAGGACAGTGCCTGGAATTTAGGAAATGCAGGATTATTGTTAGCTATTATTAAGAACAGTTATGATGAAATTCCTATTATTTTTATGCTGAATAACTTATATATCATGTTAAAAAAAAAAAAGATTGAACGCTCTTCCTACCTCATTTGCAGAGTTGAAACTGTGGGACAACCAGACAGAAGAGATAGTATAGGCGTGTGTGCAGAAAAGCAGAATGGATATGACTCTCTACAGCGGGACCAAGCAGTATGCATTAGTACAAATGGTAAGAAATAACTGCATTCCCTTTGAAATATAGGAATCACTATAGTAAGAAATAAATTTGTCCCAATATCACACATTTATAGCAGGAGGTGAGAAGCTAGGGGTCTTAATGATATATCTGTATGGCTGTTGTGTACCAGCATTGTTCTATACCCTTTATAAATAATAAAGTACTTAACCTTTTAACAACTTTTTGAAGTGGAGAGTAGTAGTATTTCCATTTTATGGGTGATGAAAACTGAGCCACAGAAAGGTTAAGTAACCAGAGGTGGGTGGGCTGGGATTTGCTTCAGGGAGCCACCTCTGCATTCTGTGTGCAGAGGTCATTTAAATTCAATGTAGATTTGGGAACTAGGGAGAGTTTACTTAATTTGTTATATTTCTCTAGGTTGTTTGGTTCCTTCATGGAAATTACACTTTCAAAAGTCATGTTAAGACATGTTAATATTTTGTGTGGGTCAAACAGTATAGGTAGAACAAGATCCTTGTTTGTTCCACGTGAAACAATCTTGCTATTCCACAGGTTATAAATTTACTGTGGAGTCAAATTCCCTTTGATGCCATCCATATGGGAAATTCATAGCCTCTGTTCATTTTTTTTTTTTTTTTTTTTTTAGCAACCAATGAATGCATCAATAAGTGGAACAACAAATCAATGTCCCCAATCAATAAATAAGAATTTTTTAAAAAGGAAAGTCTAATTTTCAAGTTCTGGTGAAAATGTGGCACAACCAGTCTTCGCTATGTACCCGGCCACAGTCCATAGGCTCTGTGCTAAGGGAGCAGAACCCTTGACCAGAGCTCTAAAATGTTATTACAGCTTTAACTTTTTCTTTCTGTCATGAGGATGAGGGTTAATTAAATGCATTATCTTTGACCAGTTGGCACTCCAAAATGTTTTATTTATCTGAATTAGGAAATTAGCTGCATTACCAATAATATAGAGTCTATTTCAGTTAGTTATAGCTCACATGTAAATGACTTTTTACCTTAACATTCTAGGTGCAGTTTTTGTAAATGGAAAAGAAATGACTAATCAGCTGCCTGCCGTTACCACTGGGTCTACTGTCACATTTGACATTGAAGCTGTGACTCTAGGAACCACCAATAATAATGAAGGCGGAAACTTCAAGCTTCGAGTAACTATTAGCTCAAATAACAGAGAAGTGGTTTTTGATTGGTTACTTGATCAATCTTGTGGCTCTCTTTACTTTGGATGCTCATTTTTCTATCCTGGATGGAAAGTATTAGTTTTCTAAATTTTTGGATAATTGGCTTTGGTTTACAGGATTTTAAGGTAGCTGCTCTCAGCCTAATTTAGTTGTAATTGATAAAAAATGAAAACAACTGTTAGATTCACCTCTCAATTAAGCCATTGGAAATGGAAATGGTTTATTGGATTATTTTGGAATATTTTAGCAATAAGGGACTTGCATATTGTGGACAAAATCATAATGCAGTCATTTTTATTTTTAGCATAGTGTTCATTAAAATATCACATCACAATAAAAATCAAATTGGCTTTTAAAATATGAGGAGATAAAGTCCTATACCCTCCACTTTACTTTGTAAAGTTGGCTTTAGAACAGAAAAACTAATGTAACATTATTTTCTTAAATCTCCATCTTTTAAGGACCCAAGGCCATGTAAGACTTTAGTATAAAACAACAGGAATAGGCCAGGTAGAAGCCCAAGTTCTGTAATATATGTTCATTTGTTTGCTCTCCACATGAGTGGTGAGTATGTTCTTTATATTCAGGTATTTGTAAGTGGTATTGAATTTTATCTTATGTTCAGTATTAAAGCCCCAAAAGCATGGTAATTTCTGCCTTTTTTTTTTGGTAATTATAGCAAATGTCTACAATAGGCAAAATGTTTTCTTTTGTTCTTTTCTTTCAGTTTGATTCATGATAGGCTAGTGGATTTCTACAGGGTAAAGCTACTTGTGGAAGTAGTATGCACAGCAGTGTTAGCCATTTCACATGTATGTAATATGTACAGGTGCAGATCCAGCTGCAATGATATACAAATAACTATTTTTAGGGCATGAGCTGCAGTATTGTCAGTTTTATAAATGGTCTTTTAGTGGACCAAACGAACATAGGGTAAATACTTGACCTATTTTTGAAAACAAATTTGTGTAAAATATTTATTTGAAGGACTTACTTAGTATGTAAAAATGATTATCCTAACTTGCTATATACCAACCTACAGGTTTTTTTAATGTGAATTCTTTTTTATTTTTAACAGAAAAGTAGAAAAGCAAGTTCGATATTTTTGTAAAATAATTTATTTGGGGATTCAAATCCCCTGTTAGACAATCATGACCTGTTTCACTTGCCTTTTTATGTATAAGTCATCTTTCATTGAAGAAGATGTGCTAGAATGTAGATGCCTGGTAAAGCTGTCTGAAACAAAATTAAAAATGAAAAGCTAAATGTGTGTATTTTTTTCTTCCATGGTACTTGATGAATCTCATTTTATTCTTTACTTTTAAATAGAAGAAAAAAAGAGTTTCCTGCAGCTCCAGTCATTTAAATTCAGATAGCATTGTAACTTGTGAAAAGTTACTTATGTTCTGTGTATAAGCTTACTTATATTGATATTCTTTGATATTTACTAAGTTCCTGACACATAACATGGGCATAATAAATGTTTGATTGAAAGAATGTAGATGAGCTTTCTCCAGAATGTCATCTCATTGCTTTCACTCAGCAAATATTTACTAAACATGTTTATTTCTTCTCCTCCATTGAAGAATGACATCTTAAATTTATACCTATAGAATCTGCTTATTTCATAGAAGTGACTTAAGCCTAACTTACTGTTAGACAGGTGTGGACTTTAATATTTTGAATTCTGAAAAAATTTTAATATTGATAGTTTTTCTTGTACTTGGAACAGAAGATTTTGTTAAACATCAACTCATTCTGTTTAAATAGATAAAGGAACCTAGATTCCAAATCAGTGTGCTTGGAGGGACAAGAGAGTTTGGGTGATGATAATGATGATAAGAACTGACATTTATTGAACCCCTGCCATGTGCCAAGCACGATGCTAAATATTCAAAGTGCATTCATTATCCCATTTAATCCACATATCATACTTGTTATACTGTCATTACTATTATTTCTACCTTACAGATGAGAAAATTTAGGCTCAAAAGATATTTGTCTAATGTCATGACTACTAACTAGTCTAGTTAGTACTGTAGCCCCAACCTATTCATTCCGGAGCCATTAAGGAGCTCTTAACCATTATGCTCCTGGGAGTAGTGGGCACTAAGGGGAAAAGCCAGATGTAGGTAACAACCAACTTTGGGATAAATGGTGAAAAACTGCAAGAGTAGCACTGGGGAAGGACAGGTCAAATTTACCTGAAGATCTCAGGGAGTAAAAGAGATCTTAAAAAATGAGTAGAAGTTTAATAAACTCAGAACTGGCATTTGAAACAGAAGGGAGAGAATTTGCAGCCATGGTGGGGGTGAGAACCGTGTGCGTTAGGGCACCCCCGCCCCCCAGTATTGTGGAGGAGGTGGCGTGGGAGGATCCAGCGAGGGCCTGAGTGGTGCAGAGACATGGCGTGTTTTCTAGTTTTGAAACTGCAAGCTGGTTTCCGGTAAGGGGCTGTACCATTCGTACATTCCTCCTAGCAATGTGTTCTTCGAATCTTCCCCAGTATTGGTTGTCAATTTTTTATTTAGCTTTTCTGATAAATATGTGGTCATATCTCATTGTGGTTTTAATTTGCATTTCTCTAATGGCTAATGACGTGGAACATCTTTTCATATGTTTAATTTGCCATCAGTAAGTCCACTTCAGTAAACTCTTACCCATTTTGTAATTGGATTGTTTATTTACTATTTTTAATAGTTCTTTATGTATTCGAGATACCAGTGCCTTGTTGGGTATGTGGTTTGCACTTATCTGTAGCTTGTCTTTTCATCCATTACCAGGGTCTTTCCCAGAGCAAGAGTTTCTAATTTTGATGAAGTTCAACTTACTAATTTTTTCTTTTAAAGATTGGGTTTTTGTCAAGTGTAAAGATTAGGTTTCTGTCTAGCTCTAGGTCCCAAGGATTTTCTGTTTTTTCCTAAAAGTTTTATGGTTTAACATATTACATTTAAGTCTGATACATTTTGATTTAATTTTTGTATAAGGTATAAGACTCCTTCTGAAGACTCTTACGGTTCATTTGGGAAAATGTCTGTTCGTGTGGATGTCCATTTACTCCAGTACCATTTGTCGCAAAGACTAGCTTTCCTCCATTGAATCGCTTTTGCACCTTTGTCAAAATGAGTTGCACATACTTGTGTGAGTCTGTTTCTGGGTTTTCTGTTATGTTCCATTAATCTGTGGGTCTGTCTCTCCGCCAGTACCACACAGTCTAATTACTGAGCTATTTAATATTTTAAAATCAGGTAGACCTGCCTCCTCTCTTGCTCATCTTTTTCAAAATTGTTTTAGCTATTCCAGTTCCATTGTCTTTTCATGAAGATTTTGGAGTAATTTTTTATCTACAAAAAAATTTGCTGGAGTTTTGATAGAATATTGTGTTAAACCTGTATATCAGTAAAAAGTTTGTCTCTTTACTATGTTGAGTTTTCCAATTCATGAACACAGTATGTTCCTCCTGTTTAGATCTTTAATTTTTTAAAAAAGAGTTTATTGCCCTGGCTGGTCTGGCTCAGTGAATTGAGTGCTGGCCTGCGAACCAAAGTGTCACTGGTGGGATTCCCAGCCAGGGCACATGCCTGCGCTGTGTGCCAGGTCCCCAGTAGGGAGTGCACCAGAAGCAACCACACATTGGTGTTTCTCTCCCTTTCTTTCTCCCTCCTTTCCCCTCTTTCTAAAAATAATAAATAATAAAATAAATAACATTTTATGTCTCTCTAAAATTATTTTTAGAGAGAGGGAAGGGAGGGAGAAGGAGAGGGAGAGAAACATTGATTGGTTGCCTCTCCCACGCCCCCTACTGAGGACTGAGCCTGCAACTCAGGCTTGTGCCCCGACTGACAATGGAACTGGTGACCTTTTGGATTACAGCCCAGTGCTCAGTCCACTGAGCCACACCAGCCAGGGCTAGAGGTTTGATTTCTTTCATCAGCATTTTATAGTTTCCAACAAACAAGTTTTGCACATATTTTGTTATGTTGACACCTAAGTTTCTTTTTTAATGATTGTAAAGGGCATTGTATTTTTAATTTTGGTTTCCACATGCTCACTCCTAATATAGTGAATTAATCTTTGTATGCTTATTTTGTATCCTGCCAATTTGATTAACTCAGCCTCTTGAGATTTCCTCTCTGATCCAAGGATTTTCTAGAAATGTTTTTAGTTTCTGAGTGTATTTGGAAGTTTTCCTGTTATCATTCTGTTTATTTCTACTTTGATTATATTGTGGTTGGAGAACACACTCTGTTTGATTTCCGTTTTTTTAAATGTGTGAGGTTTATTGTCATGCCCTCGGAAATGGTCAGACTTGATGTATGTTCTTTGGGTACTTGAAAGGATGTATTCTGCTGTTAACTTTCTTTCTTTTTTAATTTTATTTATTGATTTTGAGAGGGAGGGAGAGAGAGACATCAATTTTTTTTTCTTGAGAGAGCTATATCAAAGTCTACAGTTAACAGTTGTGAATTTGTCTCTTTTTCCTTTAATCAGTTTTGAGTCAGCTTTTGTAGCTCTTTTGTTTTATGACTACACACTTGGGATTTCTGTACATTCTTAGTGGATTGACCATATCATGATGTTCCTCTGTGTGTCTCTGGTAATTTTCTTGGCTTCACAGTATAGTTTATCTAATATTTATATAGTCCCTCCTGCTTTCCTGTTTGCATGATATACATTTTTATATCCTTTTATTTTTAACTTATCTGTATCATATTTGGAGTTTTTTGTAGACATCATATAGTTTGGTCATGGTTTTATTGTTTTTTGATTTATTCACTCAATCTCTGTGTTTTATTTGGTTCTATTTAGACCATTTACATATAATGTTTTTGAGGTATTAGGACTTAACTCGGCCATTTTTATTATTTTGTTTTCTGTTCTCCCTGGTTTTCATTTCTCTGTTTTCCTTTTTATGCATTCTTGTAGTTACTTGAACATATTTTAGAATTCCCTTTTGATTTATCTATAGTGTTTTTAAGAATTTCTCTTTGTGTAACTTCTTTAGTAGTTCTAGGTATTAATATGTATGTATGTGTAATGTACACAGTTTCCATGTACATGTATACATTGTGTATATACATTAATACATTTGTATTATATATTACATATTTAAGTTGTGTGTGTGTACTGTGTGGCTCTCGCATTCAAAATGACTGAGCAAGTAGAGCAACAACTCTGCATAAATTTTGCATTAAGCTTGAACATTCCTCCGTGGAAACTGTTCAGGTGATTCAGAAGGCCACAGCGATGGGCAGCTGGTGATTGGCCGCTTCATCACGATAATGTGCATGCTTTTGCATCACGTCTCATGCAGAGTTGCTTTTTTGAAAAATGTAATCTTTATTGTATTCCCTCCTCCCCCCATTATCATGTAGTCCCCTTATACCCCTTTCCCCTCTTGTGCAGTGTTTTGGCCAAACATCAAATCACCCAGGTGACTCATCCCCTCTACAGCCCAGATTTGCTGTCCTGTGACTTCTGGCTTTTCCCAAAACTAAAATTACCTTTGAAATGGAAGAGATTTCAGACCCTCGAGGGGGCAGCTGATGGCAGTTGGAAGAACTGTGTGAGGTCCCAAGGTGGAAGGGGACTGAGGTGCCATTGTCCTATGTATGTTGTTTCTTGTATCTTCTTCA